AGTTGCTATTATTTCAACTTGCGTCAGTGTTTCCATAAAAGGCATGCTGAAGTCAAACGCATTGCTTTCTAGCATCCTCACAAAAATAGCAATAGTGTGGGTGAGAAACCAGGCATCTGAATAGATGAGTGATTATGTGGGTGAGAAATAGTGAGTTCCTCAGTGGGTTGAAAACTGTGTAGGCAAAATAATGACTTGGGTTATTCTTCAGTGCAGTCAGTCAGGAAATTAGCATTCAAACTTACGTCTATTTCTTTTATTTCTAAGATATTTTTATTCATAATCGGGTCTAATTTGTGACGTTCGCAACTCTGGTTCCTTGTGGCAGGCACAATTTCTGATCTACAAAATTTGTGGTGTCAGCCTGGCTAAGTTATAAACTGGTATCAAAGGTGCTTTATCAGATACAAGGATATTTATCATTATTTCTATTATTCTCAGTCAAAAAGACATGAAAGATGGTCCGTAAAGTAAAACATTGGTTGCAAATTCCAAGTTATTAAAAAAGAAATAATAACCTTTCTAAATGAGTCATTAGGTGATGACCTAATGACCCAGAAGTTAGTCAGTTTAACAACATAAATTTAAACCAGACAACATGGATAACAACCAAGAAATGTAGAAATAACCACCACTAAAGTAGCAACGACACAAATTGAGTGGTGCCTTTTGACTGTGTAGCAAGTACATGTATTTCTTTGATCTTCAGGTTAACAATTGTTTACAAGCTGTGCTCTAATAAGATGAACTATCTCTATACTGTATTTGGCAGCAAACCCTTGCGATTTTGACCAAACATTCAGCATTAGGTTTGGCTTGGGCAGTCTGAAATGTGCCTGAGCTATGTTGCTGAAAGCACCTGGAGGTGGTTCAGGAGCGATGTCATTCACACAGGATGTGTAAACGTTGGAGGTGCCAACTGCACTCAATTCATTCCCGCAAAGTCTATTCAAAGCTCTCAAGATGCCCCATAGACAATGATTGTACTTTGACACTCATTCACTACACTGCCAGAAGCGAAATGGCTTGAAACTGCAGTATAATATGTCCTGAATTCAGTCAGTCTTGGAACAGGTGGCGAAAAACCTTTGTCAACTGTATTTTAACATTATTAGATCCCTCACTATGTGACCAGCTCTTTAACAACATTAAAAAACAAACACCCGCTTTGGCATCCTACACACATGGACATTGCTGTGTGTTTGTTTTTCAGACCCCAAATAAAGGCAGTGTAGAGCGGGCAAGTATAAGCCCGGCTTCCCTTACCATATCACTACTGCCAGAAGCAAAATCACAATATAATGTGATCTGGAATTAATCAGTCCCTGAATGTGTAACATACCACAAAACGCCTAATTAATAATCAAAACCTTAAACCAAACTCTGATATGATCCACTGCTGAATTTTGTTCCTGATTTTATTTCTCTGCTTCCTGTTGAAAACATATCAGACTGCTACTATGGGATAACACTTTGCCAGCATCAAGGTTATTGGAGGCAATATCACTAATCATTATACTCTCCTTAACTTCTTATTGGCTAAAAGACATATTTATTTACCAGACAGTTTGCTTCAACCAAAAATAATTAAGTTGATAACATTGAAGGTAAGTAGAACAACAACAACAACTTGCATCTATATAGCACCCCTCACGCAGGGTAGCGTCTCAGAGGGCTTGACAGTGGCGGAGCACAACTCCGAGCCAGGCAGAGTGGAAGGTGACCATAGGCACGGTCGAATAGGAAGGTCTTCAGGCACAACAGGAACCATCTGTCTTCATGTGCAGCTGTCCTCTGTCATTTCAACTCAACTGTTTGGCAATAATAATATTAATGCGTTGTAGTTGATACAACACCTTTTGCATTGGAAGCACTTCATACGATTTACCGTAAAGTAAATAGTATATTTGTAGATGAACCTCAGCAGCCAATTTGCACAAAGCAATGTCCCACAAAAAGTCATAAAGTGAAAGACCAATTTTATATGGGAGATTGTTAGGACACCAGGAGAAACTCATTTCTCTTTTCAGATAGTTTCAAGGGATCTTTAACATTCACTTGAACAGGCAGATAGGACCTTAGTTTAACATCTCATTTGAAATACGGCACCCCAACAATGCAGTGGTCCGCCATTACTGTCTTGGGAGTGTCAGACAATACTTTCAAATCATAAAATGATAGAATTATACAGCACCAAAGGAGGCCATTCGGCCCATCATGTGGTGCCAGCTCTTTGAAAAGAACTTCCAAATCAATACCACTCCCATGGTCCCTCCCCATAGCCCTGCAAACTTGTCCTCCCCAAATAATTATCCATTTCTCTCTTAAAAGTTGTAATCGAATTGGCTTCCACCACCCTTTTAGGCAATGCATTCCAGATCCGAACTCGCGGTGTGAAAAAAATTCTCCTCACCTCCTCTCTGTTTCTTTTAACAACTATTTTAAAAAGGTGTCCTCGGGTTACCAACCAACCCACCAGTGGAAATAGTTTCTCCTTGTTCATCCTATCGAATTCCCTCATATGAGATGTTAAACTGAGGTCCCGTTGGCCTGTTCAAGTGAATCGTAAAGATCCCATGGAACTATTTGAAAAGAGAAGGGAGTTTCTCCTGGTGTCCTGGCCAACTATATAGTTAAAAGTCCTGATGTGGGGCTTGAACATACAACTTTTGGACTCAGAGGTGAGAACACTGTCAACTGAGCCTAGTTGACACACAATGACAGACCCCATTTACAATCCCATTGTCATCCAAGTCTTGATTATTCTGAGTGTATGGATTGTTGATAGGAACAGCTGCAATCCTTGAACATTCATCTTGTTTATTATCAAAGAAAGTGTATTATAAACAAAAGATAATACTTATTTGTGTGTTTATTCCTTTCCAGCCCTTTAGTCGTTTTTGCTTGGAGCCAGTCATTACATCAGTTACTTACCTGTATCACATTGAGACATTTTTAAAACTTTGTGTAATATCACTGAGGGGATCAGAACCGACGGTGACAACTGAACCACTTTCTTTAATTTTGATAAAAATAATGATTCTTGCATTTGATATAGCGCCTTATCACGTCATTGAGTCACCTCAAAGCTGTGAAAACCTCTTTGAGACTCTCTCTCGATGTGAAAGGTGCTATATAAATTTACACTGTAGTTGTTGAACAACCTTCTGATCCACAGGCAACAGCGCTACCATCTGAATCAAGGTGACACACTTTGACATTGTGATACTATCTGATTATATTAGTTTTTATTAGGCTGAAAATGTTATCAATCCTCATTTTATATTCCACAATGTAATTTCTTTTCAACCTTTTTAAAAAAAAATCTGGAAATTTAATCAGGAACACAGATGGTTACTTTTTATTTTACTCAGATCCTTGCAATATCCTTAATTGAAATTTTCTCATGTCAGGTGGTTCATTTTCAATAAGCAAATCTGCCTTTTTTGTTTTTCTAAGTTCCGATTTCAAGGCTGCAACATTCAACAAGACTCAGTGAAAGCATTTACAGTTTTGTTCCATTCTGTTCAGTGTACACACACAAAAGAGTGAGTTCTGCCCTCCTTACAATACACGAGAGACATTCCTGTATGCACAATGGATCGCTGCAGCATGGTTACACAAATACGGGGACACACAATGAGCAGGCATTTCTGTCAATATCTATGTGTATCACCTCTGGTGAAGGGAAATAAAATCCAATATTCCCACTAAATATCAGGTAGAGGCCCCATACTATATGTAAGAATGAAACCAGAAAAGGATGGAACTGTGAATTTGGAGCCGAGAAAGGAGGGTGGAGAAGGCTAGACTGGTTTCAGTGGTGAAGGTGGCAGAGAGGTCAAATAGGTAGAGGAATTGGAGAGAGCCATGGTCACAGAAAGAGAGGTCATTTATGACTTCAACTCAGGCAGTCACAGTACTGTGGGCAGCACAGAAGCCAGATTGGAGGGGCTCAGGGAGTGCAGGGCGAGGACTTGGCATTCATTCATATGAAGGAGCGGAAAATCAGAGAGCAAGTTACCTTAAGACACTTCTGCACAATTCTAGTGGTCAGTTACACAGTGGTCAGTTCCAGAGGGACAACAATACCGGCCTCAAATAGGTCAGTAATCCACCTTCTCAGTTGAGCGGAAATAGGCACAGTGAGGCTTTAAGAGGCATTTATTAATAATAATAATCCTTGCATTTGGTATAGCGCTCTTTATCTCATGTTTTCTTTTAATGTTCACATGAACTAGTAGTCGGGACCTCGGTTTAACGCCTCAACCAAAGAACAGCACCTCTAGCAATGCAGCGCACCCCCAGCATTATTTTGGAGTATCAGCCCAGACTGAGCATTTAAAGTCCAATGTAGGGCTTGAACCCATTACCTTCTGATTCAGAGGCGATAGTGCTACCAACTGAGACCAAAGTAGGATATAAAATAACTTGTTTTTCAACTTTCACAACTATAATTCAGCAATACTAGGGGAATACAGCACTATAATTTTATCTTGTACAGAATTATAAATTGCGTAATGCTATTTAACATCTAATAATGCATTATGACCTGTAAATCATCACTCAATAACCTCCCAGTCACAATATAATGAATTAATACTTCATTGTAGATACCATGATATATTAAGTACATAGAACACACTGAATGTCAGCATACATCACTGTTCACATTCCTAGCAAAACGGAATGAAAGCACACATCAACTGCATCAGATCAATCAAATAATAGCACCCAAACACCAAACTGAATTCAAGGTTATTGTAAAACATGTAACTTTGCTCTCATGGTTTCTGACAACACCTGAAGCATTGCTGAGATCACTATCATGCAACCACTGTCAGGTACCCAAACAGCTCTGTGGATTGTATAAACTGTTTTCTTCTCTGCAGAATTTAGTTTTAGACCTTTTGTTTCAAGTGATCTCTTGACAATTAGAAGTATAGTTTAGGAGTTTGCCATAGCATGTTCATTGTTGAAAGACAAAAACATGAACATACCTGTAGCAACTTCTTTGGTGGTGGGGTTTGGAGTATATCCACCTGCGTATCCAACCTGAGTTGAAGAGACACCACTCTGCGCCCAGAACTTTTTCTCAGCACCCCAGAAACAGCCCATGCCTAAACAAAACAAAATACAACTATTTAACAGTATAAACCACCAACATTGTAGCAGTCTGACAAATAAATTAGGATCATGTCTAAAACAAAAAGCCTTCTCGTACTCCTCCTATACCAGTAACTGACACTTCTAACAGGAAGCTGGCGCTACGCTAGCGTAGCTAACCACCCTGCCAGCTAGTGCACTCTGGACTCTTGGGATTGAATCTAGCTTAGACTGATGAAAGTTTTGTCTAGCACTTAATTAAACTGTCTGGAATTCCCTGCCTCTATCCCTCTACCTTTTTGTCCAGCGCCTTGGGACATCGTCCCGACGTGAAAGGCGCTATACAAATGTAATTTTGTTGTTGTTTCTTTAAATCCCTCTCTTCAACTGCACTGATGGTCACCTCCCCTCTCTCTCTCCCTCACTCGGTGTCCAACCCAGTCATTGTACAACATGCTCCCCTGCATGAAGGGTGCCATATAAATGTAAGTTATTGCAGTTGTTGTTGTAAAAGTCCAGCACTCTTAAGTGAAACCCATTTGAGGGAGACTCAAACCAGGTACGATTATGCATGGGTCCAACAGCATTGAAACTTCCCTTAATTTGGCACAAACTGGAAATCTGACTCAGAGAGAACACAAGATGGAAATGGCCCACTGATATAAGAGAGGTTGTTCTTCTGAGGTTAGAGAGGCTAGCACCGTACCACATTGTTGTGGCACTAATAGAAGGAGCTTTGTTCTACATCTAACACAGATTATATCCCTACCTCAGGAGTGTATAATGCTTACATTAGTCCCTGAAATAATGTTCCATTTTTTTTTACAAAAGTTCAGATTTTGGAGAAAATGAAAGTATGAAACCTCCAACAAAACAAACAAAAAGCATATTGGGATTGACAAAGCACTCAAATAAAAAAAATGTAGAGTAAACGCACAATCACAATAAAAAGCAGCTCAGGACATGACAATTCTCAAGTGCGTCTGTGAATGTCAAACTGACCCACAAAACTCAACTCCAAGACAATCCTGGAGTGGTCTGGGATTTGGGGTTACTTATACACAGGCAACATTGGCTTTCAGCACTCCAAGATGTTATCCCATATAAAGGGCACTATATCAATGTGAGTTGGTATTGTTTCCTATGTGAGACCCAATTTATGACTTGAGACACTTGCACCATTTGCATTGCGATTTCCTGTTTGAGCACTTGTTCAACACCGAATGATTTCTAGCTGGAAGCGCAGGATGATCTTAATTCCCTTGGCAATGAAATATGATTTGCATTAAACATTTTTGAAAGAGATAATTGTATTCAGTGCTTCAGCTGGAAGCCAAATTGAATACTCAGGCATCACTTATCATGTTTGCTGTGAAGGTTTCTCATAAGTGTAACCAGAACTGCTTTGTGACATGAACTCCATTGGGTCTAACTCTCCTTTGCAAGTTAACATTCAGGTGTTACTTAGAATTACATAGATATTACAGCACAGAACCAGATCATTTGGTCCAACTGGCCCTGACACTGTTTATTCTCCACACAAGTCTCAACCCTCTTAATCCACATACCTATACCCCTCTATTCCCTTCTCCCTCACATATGCATTAAGGTTCCTCTTAAACATGTTGATGCTTTTTGCTTCAACCACAGCTTCGACAGTGAGTTCGCATTCTCATCACCCTCTGTGTAATGAGTTCCTCCTAAACTCCCTGAAGCCCACTTCAGGACTTTGAACTCATATAATCTGAGATGACACTCCAGTACAGTGCTGGTGGTGTGCTGTATTGTTGGAGGTGCATCCTTTGAATGAGATGTTAAATTGACTAAGATCCTGTCTGCCTGTTCAGGTAGACGTAAAAGATCCTATGAAACTATTCCGAAACAGAAGGGAATTTCTTCCAGTGTCCTGGCCACAATCCTCTAAACTAAATTGGTCATTCACTTAATAGCTGTTTGTGGGACATTGCTGTGCTGCCATGTGCATGCACAAAATACACTTTACAATATATCCAGCACTTCATCCTCCTGATATGAAGGCACTTTATAAATATAAATCTGTATTGTACTGTATCCTGTGAGGTGCTTTGAGACGTGATCCCGAGTGTCAGCCTAGACCATGATCTCAAGTCCTCGTCACAGTACTTGATCCCACAATCTTCAGATCCAGAAGTGAGAAGGCTGCCAACTGAGCCAAGCAGACAGGTGAAACAACAGCTTCACATAAAAACAAAACCCAAAGGCAAAATCCCAAATACAAAATATGTTTGGAGATGTGAATGGTTCATTATGTTTTTATACAAGTTTTCATCAGACAAAAGACTCATTTTATGCCTCCCCCATTTTCTGGGTGCGAAGGTTGTTAAATTCAATAACAGTGTTAATGCAGATTGAGGCAATTTCAGGCTTCTTTCAGTTTGTAAATCAGTCTCGCTACCTCCAACAAGACATAAATCTCCTTCTGCAAGGTATCACTTCCAATGCTGTGTGTTTTTAGAGCTATTAAGACTTATCCTATATTTGTTTAGCAATGTGACAAAAATGTGTGGCCAATCCTTCAGCCACCTGAACCCCACTTGTTCTCTGGAATTCTCTGCCTAAATCTCTCCAGCTTGAACCATCCTTTTCTGCTTCCAAACCCTTCTAAAGATCTATCACTTTAACTGTGCCTTTGGTTATCTCGATTCTATCTCCCATTGAGGTCAGGCTCTCACTCCATCTCTCTGAAGCACTTTGAGCCGTTTACCTACATGAAAGGAATTCTGTAAATGCAAGTTGTTATTGTATTGGAATTATGGCAATTTTATAAACCAGTAGAAAGTTTCTTCAAACAAATATACATCACAGTTTCATCCCTGTGACTAAAGCATTGAATCATCTTAATTTGTATAAGCAATTATTCATGAAGATGACTTTTTAATATCTATATAATAGCTTTGGCAAACTACAAGATTACACAGCATTTCCAAAAACAATTCTTGCATATTATGACATGAGTCCGTTGTAATCTGTTCCACTTATTAATATGGAAAAGCTCAGACACATTTCATGATTAAGCTGATGCTGACCCATTTTCACTTTGCAATATATGCCATAAGCAAACCACCATTTTTTGTGTCTTAAAGCACTTTCAAAATGACTATCTTTTTCATAAATTCAAATTCACCTAAGTATAGATGGATCTAGGACCACTTAGAAACACTCTTAACAAAGCCATCGAAAATATTGTGGATTAAACTTTGAAATTGCCAAAGGGATACCTAGTGACATACTGCATTTCTAATAGATTTTCGGTCTTTGAAACTCATTATTTGATAGAGGAACAAGTCATTATGTCAGCAATGAAATCCACTCACAGCGAGCAAATAAGAATTGAATACACTTTAAAATAAAAATGGAAAGAGCAAAGCAGCCAGAATTGATCTGATGACATAAGACCAGAAGGCTTCACGATACTGGCAAATCAGAGACAAAGCAGGTTTTAGGTTGAATACCCTTTAATTCATACCTGAAAAATTAAAACGTGAACCATGTGAATCCATTTCACATGATTAGTACTTCACAGAATACCACACAGACAGGATATTTCATGAACGGCAAAACAGAAAGAGCACAAGAGTACCAACACACACGGTTCAGATGCATCTTTTCTGATCCAGACTTTAAGCAAGGATTGTAAGAGGAGCATTTTATCAATTAATTTTAAATTCTCTATGACATTTTTTCTAAAGGACTGTCATATAATTAGCTTCAAGTCTTGTCAGAAATGATTAATAACTATGCTTTGTTCCCAGGTACAAGTCTGAAAAGAAGCACTGGCATATTCAATAAGGAGATTTTTATCAGTGATGATAATAAATGTTCCTCCTGCATTTCTAGTTGTTAGAGTATGGCACTTAAATCAAAATATATACCAACAGGATAAGATACAATGCTTTTGTGAATTTCTAATCCATCTAAAGCAGCTGTTACCCCCAAAAAAAGAGGCTTGTAACACTTTTCTGTACATTGAAACCACAAGATAAACTTTACTTTGTTGATCCTTTTTAAAGGATGTTTCTTGTCCTTTGTACTTAGTTCAGCCTGATTTATTTGGTAACATTCTTGTCACTGAGTCAGAAAGTCGTGGGTTCCAGCCCTGTATTGGGACTTTGACTTCACATAGTCTAAGCTGACAGTCCGTTGTAGAACGGGTGGGGGATCTTCCGTCAGATGAGACGTTAAAACTGAGATCTCGTCTGCATGTTCAGGTGGTCCCTGAAGATCCCATGGTAAGATTCAAAAAGAGAAAGGAGTTTCTCTCAGTATCCCAGCTAACAATCCCCCAAATAAAATTGGTCATTTACTTCATGGTAGTTTGTGAGACATTGCTGTGTGAAAATGGGTTGCCACATTCACCTAGCGACATACAGTCACTACACTTTACAGTAAATCCTGTGAAATGCTTTGAAACATCCACCTGACATGAAAGGCAATATACCAAATGCAAGAATTATCATCATTATTATTATTCACTCCCTGATCAAGACGGCAATCAGACTTCCCTGTAAGCATTTGCTATTCTTTTGTGGGCTGAAAGATGCTCAGAAATTGTCTGGGATATCAGGTTTTCCCTTTCTAAAGTGAAAACTCTAGCAGCTCACCCCTTTCTCAGATGAAAAAAAAGAAAACTGACTGGATTGAAGAAAAATTCTGTTCGATTAGATATTGGCACCAAGAGTTCAATGGCCATGACTAATAAAGCTGTTATTAGCATCTTATTGCGTTCAGAGTTATGGGACAATGTTTTCCTGATGTAGCATTGATACACTAATATTTAATGCTTCAGATTCAGTGCACCTCATAATAATAATCCTTGCATTTAATACAACGCATTTCATGGCAGGAGGTATAAACTGTATATGTGTATCGATTATCATCTGTAGGGAAACACAGCAGCCAATTTGTGCACAGCATTGTCACACATACAGCCATGAAATGAATTGTTGACCTGGAGACTGGGATAAACTCCTTTCTCTTTTCAATTAGTGTCATGGGATCTATAACATCTACTTGAACAGGCAGATGGAACCTTACTTTAATCTTGGTCTCATCCGAAGGACAGCACCTGCATGAGGTAAGCAGGATCTCCTTGGGGCTGAACTTGCTCCAAGGTGACAGGTTTGGCACCAAAATGTTGGAATCGAGCCAGCCCTCTGTGGCGGTCTTGGTAACCTGGTGCCCCAGCCAGGTGGGTCTACAGGACTCCAGGGCACTGCTGGTGACAGACCAGCCAGCCTGGCTCATCATTACGACTCGGGGCAGTGACTCTGCTGATTCATCAACTGTTAACTGTGCAAGCCAAAGCCCTAACGGGTGGAGTGGTCCTAGCTGGACAAGCAGTGGGATGTTTGCCAGGCAGTGCTTTCAATGTATGCTTTCTATGTATACCACACCGACTTACAAGAACTCAGCTCCAAGACAGTATAACTTTGGAGTCGAGTTCTTGCAAGAAGGTGTTACATACACGAGTTTCCCTGCAGGAGAAGCACTTTACACCCCAAAGCTGTTTTTTCCAGGAATGAGAAATTATTTATACGGTAATTTTCCCACAAGCACATTTTAACCTTACATGTGAAGTAGCAAAAATGGAAATTCTATTCTCATACTTAATCATGTCACTAATCTGAGAGTGGCACATACCTCCCTATTCCACAATCAGTACCAGATTGCTTAAAATAGTGGGGTTGAGCGAGAGAAGGCCCTTTTAGTTCAATTCTATGAATGACTCATGTAATTGGAAAATAAACTATCTTACTTTTCATGTAAGCGTAACTTACCAAACATGGCCATCTGTACACCTTCAGGGAACGGTTCGACAATCCTATTTCCATTGACGTGATGTGTTGCTGAAAAATGTAAGGAACAGTTTTAAAATGAAGACAAAGAGAGATGTAAGGCAGCCCAATATAATTATGGAAATGTCAAGCCAACATATTTCCTGGGAGAAAGAGAAGTATTTTAATCTACTGTACAGAAGGCACATATTTTTCAATACATTTAATCCCGTGAAACTTTCTATTGCAACAAAACGACAACCGCCTACGAAACAGCAGTGGGAGATTTAATATAAACAAAAATATGATTTTTATGTAACTCAACACAATAATAAAATATGCAACAAAGTATTGCAAATTTTAGGCAACTAAAACAATGCTAACCTTCACGCACTCTCCCTTCAAAGACCTCCACAGTCTTGCTCCCCACTATATGACCACCTAACCCCCTACCATCTTGCAGGCTCTGGCCTGCTTCAAGTCCCCCGCCTCATTCGCTCCACTATTGATGGACTATTCTGTCACTCTGCCCCCACCCTCTGGAACTCTATCCCGCAGTCCCTCCGCCTCGCCCCCTCCCTTGCCTCCTTCAAGACCCATCTCGAGATGCTCCTCTTTGACCGTGCTTTCGATCTCCCTGGAAAGTCTCATACAGTCCACTGGATGCCCAGACACATTCAACTGATTTTTTAAAAAATGTTATCAAAGAATTGACCACATGACCAGTTTTTAAATCGCCCACAAAATATACAGTCAATTCACTTTACAGTATATTCCATAAAACGCTTTGAGACGTTTCAAAAGTATATCAAATGCAAGGATTATTATTATTTTATTATTAAATAACAATAAAACAAACATTCAGTGAATTTCAAAATCGGGTGTTAGTTTTAAAACAACTGATGCAATGCAAAGTGCAGCAAGAAGCTGAATCCAGGTTTGCTCACATTGCTCCCCTGCCAGAATCACAGACTCCTTGATTCCAGCAATATAAATTCAGCAAGTCAGTTTATTTTGGAATGTAATTAATTTGTGGAGTGAATTCAGTGATCCTGCAGGTGAATTGTGAGGGGGAAATGTGAATTCTTCTCTCTTTTCTGCAGTTTTCTCTCTTTATGACCCAGTGTTAGCTGGTCAGATACAGCACAGATCAGATGCAACACCAACAGCAGCAGCAAATTACATTTATGTAGTGCCTTTGATGTCGGAAGGATGTCCCAAGCCGCTGACAGTTAAGGGTTTGCACCCAGGCTGTGGGTTGGAAACAAGAGGGGTGGAGGGCAAGAGTATGAGGCATGGTCAAAGTGGAAGGCCTTCAGACAGGCATTGAAGGAGGTGAGGGAGGGGGATAGTAGTAAAGATTCGGGGATAGAGTTCTAGAGGGTGGGGGCAGAAAAGCTGAAGCCAGTGGAGCCGGGTGAGGATAGGGGTGATCGGTTCACAGAGCTTAATATGGGAGAAAGTGCAGAATGCTGAATAAAATCAACAATCTGAGAACACTGATGTGATTTGTTTTATCCCATGTCCCCCTCAAGACCTTTGTGAATGAGACCGCCAATTTGGTGCCACATTTTGGGCAGGTATGTGCTATGGACTCACGCCAAGCAGGACCTGAATAAAAATGACTGCATTCAAATTCACTTAATGTGGGAACTTCAGAACCACCAGGAAAGTTTCATTCTGGTAGGTTGGGTGTATTCAAACCCAGGTCTTAGAGGCAAAGAGACACTGCGACTCCCAGCCTAATGGACCAATTTATAAACAAAATGAGAATTTCACAAGACGTTATTCTATTAACTTTTTGCATTTCTAAAAATATGCAAAGATTTCACAGCGTATCCCTTTCCAGTTTATATAATTGTAGAACTCTTGCTGGTACAGGAGTTTTTTTTATAAAACCAGCAGCGCTTATCTATTTAATAAGCACTTTCACTTTCAGGAAGCTTATAAAATACTGACCCAGATACAACGCTATTGTTCCCTTCTAGTTTTATTGCAATGTATTTTTCCACTGGACAAAATGATTGCTACCTTATGAAAACAGAACCACATTCATTAGGATAATCAGATCACTTAACTGTCTAAAAACAATGCAAATCTAAATGGCAGTGGACCATGGTAATGAGTCAGAGTAGAACACTGAAGGTTAAAATGAGACTTGACTTCCGTTCTTTTGTGTTCTGTTGGAAAAGAATAGCAAAGGACACAACTGACAGTAATCTGCCCAGCAAACGCAAGCAAATGACTTTCTCCTTAAGAAAACCATCAGAACCGAAGTGTCCAAGGTCCAAAATTTGCCAGGATTGTTTTTATCAATTGTGTGTACAATTCAGTAACATTAGAACAGCAGAATCCTCACAGTAGTCTCTGATACAGAGGCCAAATCACAGTGAGAGGTGCTGAACTACTCAACTGACATAGAGCACTGCCTTTTGCATGAATGTCATGGAACCCATCGTTCAAATGCTTCATTTTAAAATAAAAAAAAACTCTTCTCTGCCTTGGCTGCCCTAATTCTCATTCCCCACCCCCATCGTTACTGATATTTCGAAACATCAGAGCATCACTTCACATCACTAAGGCTTTCATGCAAACAAAAACATTCGTGAAGGTTTTTGTAATATTTGTCGATGAGTGTAATGCAAGGTAATCCTGTGAAAACCTTATAAAATAGTGGGCGTCTCTGGGTAATGGACAGGAGTGGAAACCTTTGCTGATTTCCACTTTGTTAAGTAACCCACAGTCAAACCATGTTACACTATCCTGTGAAGTGCTTTGAGACATCTTGACAACATGATAAGTAAGGTATTATATCAAATGCAAGGATTATTAATATTAACAAGCCAGTTGCACTGAAGCCAATTGTAATGCTCCAAGTGGCTGAGACTAGCTAACTACGCAGTTTGAATGGATTTGATCTTGGGAGTTTCCGAGTCTGGATGCTCAACATTGCTTTTAAAGATAGACAGCATTCTGTTACAAAAATCTGTTTCAACTTGTGAATGTTCCAATGTACTGAATGTGGTCCCAGTGATGAAGAGTCCACAACTGCAGTTTGAGTCTGGGGAGGTGGGGTCGAAATGTCTTTTCTTACTATTGAAGAACGCACACATTTTTTGAAAACGCTCAAGTTCAGCAAAAATAATTCACATTTATACAATGCTTTTCATGGCAGGAGGAAGTCTCGCAACGCTTTACACACCTGACTGAGAGCATGAGCTGGAGGCTTGGATGGGGGGAGTGGTTGAGAAGATGGCTGAAAGCATGGTCGAAAATATAGGTATTAAAGCATCTTTTTAAGACTGGAAAGGAGGAGGGTGAAGCAGAGGGACTCTGGGATGGAGTTCCACAGAGCGGGGGCAGAATGGCTGAAAGCTTGCCCATCAATGATATTTTGGGGGTTGGGCAAATTCAGTCTTAATTTGGAAGCCACTTATGTTCCCTGGTGTTTTAATAGAACTGTGGATAACTGATCTTTAAAATTAAGACTAAAGTTTAAAAAATTAACAATTCTGTAAGATCTCAAATTTCAAACACTACCTAATATTCCCATCTACTGAAGTGTGCACAAAATGCCGTACAGATAAATTAGCCAATACCAGCTCCAAAACTGTTCGATTTATCACATACTGCATCTTTCTAGAGGAAACAACTTACGGGTTCTGTAAACAGCAGATCTGTCAGCAAGGCTCCCTCTGTCTCCTCGTCCCCCTTGACCTCTCTGCTGCCTTCGATACCATTGGCCACTCTATCCTCCTCCACCGCCTCTCCTCTCACCTCAACCTTCATGGTTCTGTCCTTGAATCATTCAGATCGTACCTCTCACATTGTCTCCACTTAATCTCCACAAACGGCTTCTCCTTTAGCCCCTGCACCATCTCGTGTGGCGTTCGGCAGAGATCTGTCCTTGGTCCCCTCCTCTTCAATATCTATATGTTCCCTCTTGATGACATCATCCGCAGACATGGGGTCAACTTCTACATGTATGTGGATGACACCCAACTCTACCTCTCTGCCTCCACTCTTGACTCCAGGACCACTGCTGTCCTGACAGAATGTCTGTCAGACATCAAGTCGTGGATGAGAGCTACAGTTGAACGTCAACAAGTCTGAGGCTCTCCTGATTGGCTCCTGTCAGTGCCTCCTCACCTCAGGCGGTGACAGATCACCATCCATGGTTGCACACTCCACCTCACTGAGCCAATCCGGAACCTTGGCGTCTTGTTTGACTCTCAACTATCCTTTCTACCCCACATCCATTCCATGACCCGCTCTGCCTTGCCCCATCTTTGCAACATCACCCAGCTCCGCCATTGTCTCACACTGCAGGTCGCCGAGACCCTCATACATGCATTCATAACACTGAGGCTTCACTATGCAAACTCCCTGCTTGTCGTCCTCCCCAACTCTTCCTTTCGTCTTCCCCTGGTCCATGCCTTTGTCACCTCTCGTCTGGACTACTCTAACGCCCTCCTCGCTGGTCTCCTATCCACTACCATCCATAAAATCTGAATCATTCAAAACTCTGCCGCCTGCATTCTCACCCGCATGAAACTCTGCTCCCCGATCACCCCAGTCCTTGCCAGACTGCACTGGCTGCCTATCCCAGAGAGGATCGATTTCAAGATCCTCACCCTTGTATTCAACTCCTTGCACTCCTCTGCAACCCCCTTCTTCTCTGACCTCCTCTCTCCTCAAAATAGTACCCGTTGCCTTCGTTCCTCCGGGTCTGGCCTCCTCCTCGTCCCCCAAGTCCTCCGCTCCACCCTCGGCGGCCGTGCCTTCGGTCACTATGCCCCAAGGCTCTGGAATTCTCTTCTTCACTACCTTCACTTTGCTCCCTCCCTTCCTATTTTCAGGTCTCTGCTGAAGACCTTTCTTTTCGACCTTCGGTCACCTTCCTCCCCCTCCCCCTGGCTCGGTCCCGGGATCCGTTACTGTGAAGCGCTCTGAGACGCCGTCCAGCGTGGAGGGTGCTATGTAAATCCAAGTTGTTGTTGTTGTTCGTAGGCTGCAGATCATCCAGAACTCTGCAGTCCGTGTCCAATCTTGCATCAGGCTCCGTGACCCTA